TTTTCTTCTTAAGGTCTGTTACTTAATCACATGCCCCACATCCTGCATTTRTTCATTCACTTATTTGTAATGAAAYGTGCGACCTCACATTTTTAATCTCTGAACTTTTTTTTTCAGATCTCAGTAYCTCCATTTTGTTCAAGTAATTTTAAATTCTAGCTTCCACCTCACACATATGCATGCAGTCAATCAAGTTTTAACTGCTCCTATCTCTTTGCAAGTACTTCAGACAAGCATCCTAACCACTTGCCTTTACCTATTTGCAAAATTACTGTTCAAATCTTCCCTTCCTGTCTGGAAATTGAAAGCTCCTCCTGCTGGCCCTTTGGCGAACTAAAGACAAATCAAAATAAATACCTGCTAAGTGAAGGAAATACTAAAATACCCGTAATGCTGCTTGCGCATTTTTGTATCTCTTAGTATTTGGTGTTGAGACAAAGCTCAGAAAAATCTCATTCTTCATTAAGATGCATAAAATAAAAAAGGTAATTCCAAAGATTTGCCTAAAAGAAACAGTTTATCCACACTATCAGAAAGAGAGTGAAATGAGATTTTCTTCTTCCCATGGCAAAAAATCTGCTGCTGTGGCACAAAAGCAGTGATTATTAATTATTTTTCTACTGCAGCTAAGRAATAAAACAAGCTGAGATATTGACCACAAAGGTAAGAAATCCAAAGATGATTCACAGTCACAAACTCATACATGAAGTTATTTTGAGAAACGACCACCATTTTAGTAATAAGTTTTTGTTACTTCTGATCAGGTGTAATTTGCTTAAAGAATCAAAAGGTGGCTTTATTGCTGAGAAAATAATTTTTATGAGGGTAATTGTTTTGATATTTTTAAAAAACTCCACAACATGTTAGCAGCCAAGACCAGACTGSCAAAGCTGCACATGAAAAGCAGTATTTCCCCATCCCATATCACTTCAGCAGAAGTTCAAAGCTGATTTCCAGATTACTTGAGTCAGATACAGAACAGTTTGAGTCACCAGACTGCACAGTTAAGATAATMTCGTAATTATTTCAAGTGACTATTGAGTATGAGAGAGACCTAAGAGATGTGCTAAACAAAACTCATGCCTACATAGACGAAGATACATGCTAACCCATCAGCAAGTATCTATCAGTAGTGCTACCCTCAGAATGGGAATTTACTCTTTGAAGTTCACCGGAAAGCTTGAACAGAAACAACAGCACTGTTCCAATTTTCTGAGATCGCTAAATATTTCAGTTTGAGAACAAATACCATTAAAATAATACCATCACTCAACTTTTAATACTTTCCATTCAACTTATCTACTCGTATTCCTCACAACCTTGGGAAAACAGTTGGCGGGGKTGGGGATTGACAYACACCCAAAAAACCAAATCTCTGTWCTGYAGGAGAGAGATCAGACCCAGCCAATAGGAAATAAACCAGATCACCAAGCAAATGATTTTCAGTTCAGCGAGGAATTCTTTTATTCTATTGAGATACAAAATAAAAGCTTAAATTATGCACATCTTCTGTGTACTCTGACATTGCAAGCGTCTTTGGAAGCTTAATTTATCACTGACTGTGTAGACATCGTAACTCAAGTACAACAGACTCATCTCTGTCTAGGTCATTCCCTGTGTTCTGCAACCAATTTTCACTGCAACTCTGAAACACCTGCACATGAGTCAACACAGACTTAATCCCACCTTTTTGTTATACCAGTAACTCAAACTAGTAATTGTGTTTTCCACTTCAATGAGCTAGATGAACTCAGAAATTTTCTTATCCGCTCTCTGAGTTTGGAATTGCCAAATTCTTTATTAARTAACTATAAAGAGTAGCAAACTTCAAAACAGCAAAAGCACTATTTTATGTGGCCRAAATCTTTTTAAGATGAGCTAATTCAACTTCACTGATAAATAGCCCACATTTAGAATTGTAAAATCGTTTAGGAGAAGACCTTTAAGACCATTGAGTCCAACTTGTTCACTGAACGCTTGTTCTCTTTTTCCTCCACTCATTATGAAGTCAACCCATTATGCTAAGTCAACCCTCCTACTATCTCCAGATCCTTGCCCTTTTGGTTASATGAGCCACAAATGGCTTTCCAGGGTGGCATATCATAGGAAGTTTTCTCTTCACATGCACAGCTTAAGAGATGAGACCAGAGCTCCCAGATCATGCATCTCCTTTTTCAGTATGGTCAGCAGAYTGCACTGCGTGCAAGAACTGAGCTTTCACAGAGAATATGCCACATTCAGGGCAAGTCACATTAGTTATTCCCTTATTATCCATACCCACTACCACCAGCAGAAATAATGCTCCCCCTCAAAACTTCCTCCAGCATTCCCCACTTGTATCTCCAATTCATCTAGCTCAGCAGTTCTGATAAATAAGCAAGTCTCACACTGCTTGTGATATCAGTCATGTCAACTGGGAGGGATMCATTACATTGGAACTATGAAGACCTGCAAGACATTTAGCAAGATATAAAAGAAAGAAATGATATGCAGAATTAAGTGTTCTATGCATATATATCCATTCCTCATTAAAGAGTGACCAACAATATATTAAATAATACAGCAATAAAAAATTATTAGTGTTTTTTTTTAAAAAAACGCCTAAGTCTGTGGCACTCAYTACTTTCAATTGTTCAGGGCCTGAGTTTAATAACAAAATAGGACATTATATTTAAATGTGTAGCATCTATGCTTACATGAGACAAAGTACAAAAATAACACACAAACCACTTCTCTAGAATATTGGTTTTCATTTTGAAGCAGCACATGTTGGCACATGGCAGCACATTGGAACCAATCATGAGCAAAACACCCATTTTTGTGCTGCTGTCATTAATATAATCACAATCTTCCAAGCCAGAAGGGACCACAAGGATCACTGAACCAAACTCTTAAGGCCCCTCCAGGGATCAAACCCATGACTAATACCATTCTCCAACGTACTTGACATGCACTGAAATAGTGTTGCACGTATAAACAGCCACTAGTAAGGAGACAGAGAAGACGTAACAAAAATACTTCAATGATTTTGCAAGCTCTCTTTAAAATTCTCAGAATCTGGAATACTCTCATTCTGCATGACTCTTTTTAGTGGTACCCAGTGATATAACAAGGGGCAACAAAGCACAAACTGAAACACTAAAGTTCCATCCGAATTTGATGGAAAAAAATTCCTTTACTTTGAGGGTCACAGAGGACTTGAACATGCTGCCCAGAGAGGTTGTAGAACCTCATCTGAAGATATTCAAAAGGCCCCTGGCTGTGATTCTGTGTTGTCTGCTCTAAGTGATTTAGCAGGGAGGTTGCACTAGGGATACCTCCCTTCTGTGACTGATGCTTGTAGAGCACTGCACAGTTTTTATTCATCCTCTAATGAGTTCTGTCTGTCACCTTACATCAATAGCAAGCAAAATGTATAGCACTATGAAAAACAGAGCTTGATAATTGACTTTCCAGTCTTAGTGCCTAATTCTGTTAATTTACAAGTGCAGGAAGAAACTTTTACATTACCCTGTTAGGTAAATAGCTAGCCTTCTTCATGCAAAAGAGTGTTTTTAAAGACTTGTCTAGGCTTCACARAAATAAATTCCATCACCAACAGCTGCCCTCAGATGATGACTTTAAGGGCAAATAAATTATATTTGTCCAGAACACGCTACTTCCTCAAGCTTACCTGACCTTTACTTAAAAATCGCTTCCAAAATAAACAAATCATATGCGCAAATGGAGTGAAGCCTTTATTATTACCAGACCTCAAACTCAGAAGTTGCTACGTGCAAACACTGGCRGAGTAAAGTCAATGCAGGAGAAAAAAAATCCATTTCGGGAACATAGTGCCCTTAGAGGTTACTCTGCGCCCTCCTCCCGCGTCTAAGACAACAGAAAAAAAGGCGAGAATAAGCTGAGTAGAGTGAGTTTAAAGGTCCAAAGTGCGAGTCGCTCACGCTACGAGCGCAGGGCGGAGCTGGCCCGGCCGAGAGCCCGGGGCGCCCAGCGCGGCCCGGCAGCGCCCCCCGGCGGCGAGAGCGCGGGCCTACCCTGACCGGGGCGGGGGAAATTCATAAAAATAAATTGTAAAAAAAAATCGCCAATGCGAACACGATTGTCCTTGGCGATAAAACTGCGCTGTCAATCGCCTTATCGTCTGAGCGACGTCAGAACAACTCGCAAGTGTTGCACTGTGCGAGGGACTGATCGCTCTTTTCCCGTGGCTCCATCTAAAAGACACACGCACATCGAAAAAAGCGAAACGTGAGTCATCATCGGGCCGCCGTAAGGATACCGTACAACTTCCCAGGTACAAGGAAGTCACCTAAAGACGATATAAACAACTTCAAACTTAAAGTGGGAACCACAAGAAGCCAATTATTCATTAAATCGTCTGAAAYACACACAGAGTAATACAAATCCGGTGAAGTAGCACTCTTTACGGCCTGCAGAAAACGATGGCAATCCCATGAAACATTACACCCAAGTACAGAGACCATAGAATGGGAGTGGTAGCGGGAAAAAAAAATAAGAAAAATAATCATCACCTATCTTGTTTCTGAGTAAGAAACACAACCCGAGTGCGTATTATAGTTGCGTGGGTTTATTTTCTAAACATTAAAAAAAAAAAAAAAAAAATATCTTGTTTCTGAGTAAGAAACACAACCCGAGTGCGTATTATAGTTGCGTGGGTTTATTTTCTAAACATTATGCGGTAAAAAAAAAAAAACAACCCGAAACCAAAACCAAACCAAAATACCATTCAGCCAACGATAAAGAAAGAAGCAAAACCCCTATTACTCCTTCTCTGAGGACACAGGAATAAAAACAATAAAACATTACCCACCCGTCCAAAAATTTCGGAATTCCCCTTTGTCGGGGGATGGATAAAACCGTCGCAAATGTAGTTTTATTTCTGTTCGTACCTGATTAAAAAGTAACCCGGGGCTCTGTACCTCCCTACCATGATGAATCATGGTCTTCCCGTACCRAGCCCCGCCGAGCAGCCTCACCTTAAAATTACTGGAGTTGACCCACGCTGTTAACTCGTCGATCACTTTGTCAAGGCGCTGCTGGTCCTGCTCCAGATCGGTGGACCTCGCCGGGTCGCCCAGGTACTCCAGCAGCTCTTGGCCGACCTGCATCCTGCGGCCCACGTCCTTCTGCTGTACCTGCTCGCAGAAATAATCCATGCCGGCAGGCTCCATCTTCGGACGCTGCGGAAAAGTTTTTTCGTAGGCGAGCCGAGGGCCTCAGGGTCGGAAGCGCGGGCAGGGCAGGGCGGGCGGCGGGGGCGCGGACAGGCCTGCCGTCCTCATGGAGCCGCTGCCGGCGCTCCCCGCCCCGGCTCCGCGCCCGCCGCCCCCATGCGCACTCGCAGCCCCGCAGGGGGAAGCCCCCGGCGGGAAGGGAACGCGGCGCTGCGCAGGGCTCAGCGGGAGCCGCTCACTCCCGCTCAGGGATTTCCAGCCGCCCCCGCGCCGTCCCGAGGGATCCTGACAGGGTTCCCCGCCGCCGCCCCTCCTCTTCCCCCGCCGGGGGACGGGAAATAGAGCTCGAGAGCAGCCGCTGCGGCTGGAGGGGCTCGCAGGCACCGCAGCCGCAGGCTCGGGGAGTCCCGGCGGGAGGTGCGGCCGCCCCCGCTCGCTCTCCTCTCCTCCCGCCTGAAGAGAGATCTGCGGGCCGCCTCTCACAGGCACCGGCGAGGCCGGGGCGGACCTCTCATGCTCCTGACGCTGCGGCCTCCGGCCCCTCCTGCCCGCCCGCGGGGCGGCTCCCAAACTTTCGTCCCGACGGGTCTCAGCGCCGTCCGCTCCCCTCCACCGCGGGCCGGGCCGGACCAGGAGAGTCCCCCAGGGAGCCGCTCACGCTTTGCCGCGCCTTTCCCCGCCGGGCTCTGCGGCGGCAGCGCCGCCTCCGTCCCGTGGAAGTTGCACCTCCCGCCGCCGCCGCTGCCGCTGCCGCCCCGGCCGGCGCCAGGCGGATACACCGGGCGTGGCCCGCGCAGCCCCGCCTCCCGCCGCGTCTCCTGCTTCCCCTGGGAGAGCGCGCCCGAGCCGCGCCTCCTGCCCCGCGCTGCGGCGGGATGGATGGACGGGGACGGGCGGGCGGATGGACGGATGGATGGGTGGATGTATGGGTGGATGTATGGATGTGGGCGGGCTGGCAGAGCGCGGGCAGCGCGCGTTCCCGCGGGCGCTCCGCCGGGACCCCTGCGGGTCGTGTCCGGCGGCAGTGGGAGGCGCATGCGCCCGGCGCCCCTGAGGAGAAAGGGGAAGTGTTGGAAGGACAGAGGAGGAGGTGCGAAAGGTGCTGGGGTGCTTTCCTCTCTCCCTCCCTCTCTCCCCCTTCCCATCCCCCAGCGATGCCCTGCAACCCCTCCCGCCCTGCTCGATGCCCAGGTGTAAGGTGGGGAGATCCCCGTGAGGCCATCCCGGTATTCCTGGTGTGGTTTGGCTCTGCAGYGTTGCTGTCCGCAAAATCGGATTTGTTGTTCGGAGTGCGACAAMACTCCAGAGAGACACGGATTAWTCATKTCAGAGTTGTGCAAGCCTGGGTGCTTGGTGCTATTCCRTAAATCCAGCACAACCCACCGGGCCTTCTGTGCCTTTATTTACACGGAATCGCTGAATCACAGGGTTGGAAGTGGCCTCTGGAGATCATCTAGTCCAACCCCCATGCCAAAGCAGGATCGTCTAGAGCAGGTAACACAGGATGGGTTTTGAATGCCTCCAAAGAGAGACTCCATGAACTYCCTGGGCAGCCTGGTCCAGTGSTCGGCCACCATCAGCATAAACAAGTTCTTCCTCGTGTTAAGATTAATTTTCTTGYGTTTATTTATGGCCATTGTTTTAATTTATGGCCATTGCTYCTCCTCCTGTCRCTGGGCACCACTGGAAAAGTCTGGCACCATCCTCTTGGTACCTGCCTTAGACATACTTATATGCATTAATGAGCTTCTCTCTCTGTCTTCTTTGGAGTAAGCTGGCCCAGCTCCTGCARTCTCTCCTCATAAGAGAGCTACTCCAAACCCCTAATCATCTTTGTGGCCCTCTGCTGGACCCTCTCCASTACCTTCATGTGTTTCTTGTACTGAGAAGCCCAGAACTGCACATACAAGTTCATAGATGGCATCTTCCCAAGTACAGCCCCACAGCATGGTTGACCCACATGTAGACTGCCAGAAATTGACTGAGACCCTTAAGTGAGGGGCTGTGACTTTGAATGTTGTTTCAGGAGCAATTTAAACTGGATCAAGTCCCTTTGATGTTGGGAAAGGCTGACCTGTCCTCTCTGTCCCTCTTCATTGGCCCCTGAAGCCTCTGAAGGTGAAATTATGGCTTTCTTCACATGCAGCAAAAGGAAAACAGAGGAAGTCACTTTCTTCATCCTCCCACCCAAGCTGTCGCCTGTCTTGGCCTCTGTGCCAGATCCTGCACACACTCACCACTTGGGTTGATGTCAGTGAACTGGGCCAGCTCACAAGTCCCACAGGCACAGGACTCATGAGATGGGAAGCACAACAACCTCCATCAGTGGCAGAGGACAGCAGTGTTGGCCTCCTGCCTCTGATACTGGGAGAGTTCACCTTACTCTAAACTGGAAGCCACAGTCCTTTTCTTCCCCTGTTGTCCTGTATACAGCTCTTCCCTTCCTTACAGCAGAGCTGTTTTTTAATTATCTTCACTTAAACAGTTCAGAGAAATAATATTTTTATTCATTTTTCTCCCCTTTCTTTTGAACACATAACCAGCTTTTTTTCTGAGTCAGATTCTTAAATTTTCTCACTCTGGTTAAGCAAGTACCAGAGTTGGAGCAGACAGAGTTGGAGCTAAAGTGGAAGCAGACAGCTGGAAACTAGGTGGGGAAGATGAGGGCTGTCATTCAATGACAGCCTTTGTTTTGTGAAAGCTTGACTTAGTTTCAAGCCAGCACAGTCTGGCTGTCTCACTTGCCTCGTTAGTCCTTACACTGGGGAAGAGTGAGCSTGCAGGAAATCAGGGTACTCCCTTCATTTGTCTGCTGGATTTAGACTGAGGAACCACACCTGCAAACTGCTGTTTCACAGCAGTGTAAACCAAACTAAAGTGGTGCTACAGTGTTCCTACTTGTCTGCTTCTCACAAGTCCCTTTCTCGGGAATTCTCCACTTCTGTTCCACTGATCTGGAAAAAAAAAAACAAAAAACAAAAAACAAACAAACAAAACAAAACAAAAAAAAACTAAACAAAAAAATCCCACAACTCTCCATTCACAGGCATGGCAGGAGGCAAGACCGTGAGCGGCCTTTTGTTGATTTTGATTTTGGTGAGATGCAGCAAGTTGAGTATTCCATGCTTCATCAATCTTTAGACATTACAATAATGAAGATAGTTAGAAAGATTAAAGATGCCTTTAAAACAAGTAYATGTATTTACTTTGAGCTTATTATAATTTTACAAAAAGATTATGAACTACTCATCATGATTTCACAATGGATTTCCCTGTGTAATTATGAARAAAAGGAATTCTGGATTGAGCTGAATAGTTCTGGTCCTATGTGTGCAATGCCACTTACAAAGATATGGAATTACAGATTGCTTTTCTGAGAAAATGGGACCCAAGAAACTTCTAGAAATGAAAAAATAAATAGCAAAAAATAAAACTGGATTACTGTATATTTTTTCAGTGCACTACAATCTGATTTACTGTTGTTTTATGTTTAAAAAGCAAATTTSTTGCTRKAMAAGTTTTAAAAGTAACTGTTGACCMAAWAACATTGGCTAAATAGAAGAGAACTGAATAGATGACACTGGACTCTTGGAGTATTAACAATTAAACATTTTCTGTCCTTGTCCACCAAACTGATGAATAAAAAACCCAAGTGATGTARAATTCACTTTTCATTACAGTTCAAGTTAAGGTAAATCTCTGAAGAAAGAAAAGCAAAAAAGAGGGGGTAAAGCTTGTGGCACTGATTAGGTAATSTAGTTGCTGTGACTGGCATTGAAACTGAGGGGAAGGGTAAAGTGTAATAAGACACACACTTGAAATATCAAAACTATTTTGTCAACTCACAGACGACATTGGAAAGTTATGCTAAGGGCAAAAAGTCATGCTGGGCTATGTGGCCTTTTTTTTTCCCCCCCATTTCACGTAATAAGTGTTCTCTTAAAAACCTCAGTAGAAAATAATTGCCTCACTGTAAAATCAGAGGATTTGACCACTATATTTCATCCTGTTTCTACAAGCCATGACTAGTGCCATTATACTGATTGATTATAGATACACTGTTTTGATGTACTGTGATTGATGTAACAGCAGAAAATGGATAGCCTTTTTACTGCTGTGGTGTTTTGATAAGATCAAGGCAACTTCATTTGAAATCTTAGCACTGAGAGGGTTTGTTTTTTCTTTAAATGGGATTAATGTTGGGGGTTTTTTTCTGCAAACAAATAGCATTTGGATTTGGCAAATAGAACTTCTGGATGCTTGTTTCCTTTTCTAGCAAGGCAGGAATAGCACTCCAACATTGAATCTAGAGCAGTCCCACAGCTTGGATAAAGGACATGGTTTTTTTGTAGATGTTCTCACAGAGTCCTAGTGGACTTTATACCTACGGATGTGGGCTAGGCTCCAAAAAGAAGGCATTTTCATTCAAGCCAAAGATCTTTTAAAGCTTCTTATTCTGGGTTAAGGAGATTTCTTCCTTTGGAATGCAATCTTCTTTTTGATATGCAAGCATGTGAGCATAAATCCACTACTCTTGTGTATTTGTACAATGCACAATATTTTGTAGAGCAATTAAGCCTGTAATTGAGTGCAGAATCAAAATTTCCTTCAGTCTTCTCAATGTGACTTGCCAGCAACCAGAGCAATTACAGCAGGATCTGAGGTAAATGACACTAATCCASTGAGACACATTTTCAACCTGAATTGCACAAACCTGTTTCTCTGCCCCATCCCATCCAAGGGTGCCGCACAATTATCACCGTCTTCTCCTGTGCAAAAGGCAAGAATTGTACCTGTAGACTGGGGAGAGGGGGTGGTGTGCTCTTTGTTCAGCTGATAAGAAAGGATGTGGTGTCCATTTGGCTCTGCTCTACCCTCCTTCCTTTGCTAGCAGTGGCCTTTAACAGGCTCAGACCTCATGCAACCTGGATATGGATCTTCCACAGCAGGCCTGTCAGTCATTCCAGCAGAAAAGCTGCTTCCACAGACTGATGTCCCCTT